AGTCCGGCCTGTGTGCGGTTGCTCCAGGGGCTTCCCTTGAATACAGACATGCAAGTTTCCTTCAGCTCCAATAACACTGAAAATGCGGTCACAGTCTCCAAATTACAAGCTCAATTTTGATTGAGCTCACACTTTTTTTTTCAAGAAGCACCCAAATTCTCTCTTTTTTTTTGTGGTTTGCCTTCCTGCTGTTTTTTGAATTTATATTTTTCTTTTTTCAATCACCAGACATAAATGAGTGTGAGACGGGGACCCATGACTGCCAAGATGATGATATGTGCTGGAACTATTACGGAGGCTTCCGTTGTTATCCCAGAAATCCCTGCGAGCCGCCCTACACCCAGACCTCTGAAAAGTGAGTTATCAGTCCTGGTTTTCTTTTACTATCTGTGTTTCCCCAAGTTTGTCCTAACTGTTGTGTCTTTACAGTCGCTGCAGCTGTCGATCTCAAACTGAGTGCCAGGGTCTCCCACCGTCAATAGTCTACAAATACATGAACATGCAGGCGGACAGAAATTTGCCGGCCGACATATTCCAGATTCAGGCCACCTCCGTGTACGCCAACACACACAACAACTTCAAGATCAAAGCAGGAAATGATGGAGGGGAGTTCTTCCTTCGGGTAAGCTGATGAAGTGACAAACAACTCTACTCTAGTAGGAACTCTAACATGTGAATAAAAAGGCCAGCTAGGTTAAACACTACTAGTGACACATTTAGAGAGAAAAGAATGATTTAAACCCTTCTGCCTGGAAAGGTCTCATGTCAGACAGCAATAAACTACTTATGCACACAATATGTCTTGGTATAAAAAGAAAAACCCAAGTTAGAAATAAATCCTTACAAATTAAAAACATCTTTTAGATTTATGTGATGAACAGGGGCGGAGCTAGGCTTTTTTGAGAGAGGTAGCCCAAGGGTGGCCAAGGTGCTTTTTAGAGGGCACATACAAAATTCAACACGGCCACCACAGCTAACTTTAAATCACTTTACTTGATCTGTTTTAAGAAAAACTGAGCTGAAATTTTGAGCGATGCATGGTAGCTAAGGATGAGTCAAAAAGCACGCTGAATGCCAGTCACGACTTATTATTCAGTCATTTTTAGACATACAAGTCTAAAGATTAGTGTAGAAATAGCCCAAAACAGCCTTTATTAAATGTTAAATGCAAATCAAAAATTCAAGATGGCCACCACAGCTAACTTTAAATGGCTATAATTCAGCCATTTTAAGACTTATTGAGATTACATTTTTGTTGGGTAGCTAAGAATGATCATGTGCTGATTGTGGATGCTAATCTCAAATTAAGCCAACCACTAAAACTAATACTAATTTTACAAAGGACTATAATTCAGCCATGCTTAATCATACATAGCTAAAACAGTTATATAGTACAGTAATATCAGAGAACAATCTCTAACAAAATCTAAATTCAAATACAAAATCCCCACCCACATGTCAATCATTCAAGGGTGGCACTTGGGGTGGCCAATCAGGTGCCAGAGGTGGCAATCCAGCCACCCCTCTGGCTCCGCCCTTGGTGACGAAACACCTTTAACTTGCATGAAAAGTATAAAATGACTGTGGTGCCAATCTACAGATTGATTGCAACTAAATGTTTTTTTTTTTTTTGCAGCGTTCCAACAATGTGAGTGCCATGCTGGCGCTTACCAAGCCTCTGCTGGGACCCCGGGAGTACATCGTGGACCTGGAGATGATCACTCACCATCTACCCATGAACTACCGCACCAGTTCGCTGCTGCGGCTCACCATCATCGTGGGGGCTTTTCCTTTCTGAGCAGCACGAGTCCCCGCAGCCCACACAAGTCTGGTCTCAGCAAACATAGCAAAAAGCATCAGCATGACATACTTTACATTTTCACTCGCATATAACATAGGCTGCCTCGGATTCAAACAGCGGAGAAGCAGTTTTCACGTTCTTGCTCAAGTCAAACCAGGCCATGCTGTAACACACGACCACTGCTGTCATTTTCTATCCTAGAACATCTTTTAATTCAAACACAAGAGATGTTTTACCTTCATTTTTTTAAGTCCCTGAAGGTAAAACATTTGAATTAGAACTATTATAATCTCCCATACTACAATAATAATAATAATAATAATTTAAAAAAGATGCCCCAGTGGGACTCATCGACCTTTCTTTTGTCTCAATGCTGCATTGGTTTTTAGGAAGGAAGAGGAACAAATTTACCAGCATGAGCAGCTTTTAATGCAAGGATACACGATTTAAAATCACTACTTTCTGTTGATAAATGTTCTGGGTTGGGGCTACGGAGCCACACTGTTGGTGCAAGCTTTCTGCGCAGTTTGCCTCATGACTAATAATTTCCAGAGAATTCCAGGAACAGTTCAAAAGTGTAAAGGAAGGTAATTAGCCTGTGAGCTGAAAGAGTGCTTGACTTTGTGTTACGACAGGCCTCAAGCTTCCCTCACAGGAGTAATGTCATGTAAATACATAGGTTCAAAAAAAAATCTTTGTGTGTGTGTTTATGTGTGTTTGTGTTGGTATGATTGTGTGTTTATGCATGCAAGTAAATGTAAGTGTGCATCACATGCGGGGGTGGGGGGGTGGGAAGGAAAGAGTGAGAAGGAGCTTGTTCTCTGCCATGGCTTTGATGGATGAGGTTGAGCTGTTTATGTGTTTCTGTGATGCCATCCCAGCAGCCTTCAGTCACAGAGGCAACAACGGAGATCTGTAAACTCAAGAACGCGTGCAGGAAATGACGCCTTTCATATAAAGCTCCCCGGCAAGTTGGCCGCTCGCCGGTCTCCAGAGGAGCAGCCGGACCCTCTAATGTCGGTCCCAGTTAAGAAGTCACATTGGCACCAGGCTGCCTTGCGTGATAAAGCTAATTGCAGCGTTTAACCTTGTAGCTGGTTCATGTGTGACACAAGGGATTATTAAAGTGTTAATACAATGCCACCGGAGGTTTTTTATTTTTTTGGCAGTGGGGCAAACGTGCTTTCACGGCCTGCTCTGCATCTCCTGACTCCACGTGTCTGCTCTGGCTTGAAACACTGTAAACTGTGGATTCACAGCTCTGACAAATGATGTGTTGTCACCACTTTGTAAGTGCAGAAAATAGCTCAGCTTTGCCTAAAACTCTTTTGTGTGGTTTCAGTAGGGATTATGCCATAGTGCCTTAAAGGTTGGAGCAAAACAAAACAAAACCAAAAATAAAGAAAGAAACACTAATCTCATCATTTATGCTGTCAAGACTGATAATGTTCCTGTCGAGATGCCTTAATGTTTATTTTTTTCTTCTATTTAAAATATATTTTGTCATATGTAGCTTGAATTGATTGTACTCTGAAGAGCAAAAGCTATATTGTCAAATAAAATATGATGTATGAACCGAGATGGCTTGTTCTGCTTCATGAAAACAAATCTTGCTGCTCGTACCCGCCACAACAAGACAGGAATCCACATACATTGTAATGGAGAAAAGCAGCGTTTGTGTGGAATCTGCAGCTCTTTCCACGCTTCAGGAAAACTTGAAGATGATTTCATCCAAAATTAACAATGATAAATGCAGTGAGCATGACGCCACAGTCATTGTATCTATCTTGTTTAAAGAGATCCAGTGGGGATACAGTAATGTAGTTGAGTCAATGTGTGCTGAGGGACAAACGTGACGCCGGCCTGCACACAAACACACACATCGTGTAAGATTGGATGGGAGGGGTTTTATGGTAAGTTGTTACTCAATCATCCTGCTGTCCTGGGCTTTAGTCAGAGCAGTGTTGGGATGTGTAAGACGATACACAATGTGTTGTTGTTCCCCATGTTCAGCTCACTGAAGTAGGTTTTTTTTTTTTTTTGCTGTCCATGCGTGATTCAGCCTCTCTGGAGA